GGCATCTCCATGGAAGCCAGCTGCAGCAATGCAGGCAGGGGTTGCTGGGAAATGGAGTCCACCACAGGGCCAGGGCCAGGGCCAGACTTTGCCCACCCCTGTCCTGGATGGATCTTTGATTTTGAAAAGATTTGCCAAGGCTGGCTGTGAAAGTGGAGGAGAAAGACCAGGAACAGCTAGTAGACAGCAAAATTGCCCTAAAAAGGTTAGTTTTATTAATGGAACATCAACACCAATAAAAAGGAGAGGTGGTTATTAACCCCTCTGGAGTGGAGAACAATGAGCCAGCAAGTCAAGGCTCCCTCAAGCTGCCTAAATACAACTGCAACACCTGCTGCACTGTGGAGCAGGAATCAGAGCAGGGTACTTCTATCCTAGGCAGAACATCAGCTTCCCTATTTAATACATTCAGCCCAATTTGGGGGGGGAAGATGCACGTTGTATGCCAGAAAATACGGTATTGTGCATGCAGTTCTGGGCTCCACGTTTTAAGCAGGCTGGGGAGAAGATGGAGATGGTCCAAGGGCAGGTGATAATAAATGATCAAGGGGTGGAATGTGAAACTGGGGGAAAATGGTGAGTCTAGGTTAGGATGGAGTGGGTTGGCAGGTAGGGTCTACATGAAGACTGGCCTGAGACCCCCACGGGCAGGGTATGCTGAGTGGAAGGGATGGGAAGGGGTCGCAGACAGGTGGGGAGTGGCATCTGGGAGCGGGATGGGTGGGTGGGGTCAGGACCAGGATCATGGGGCAGAGACAGTGTGGTGCTGGGGCCCAGGGCAGAGCCATGATCCACTCCCCACATGGACCTATGCTGTCACTACCCCACAATCCCAAACTGCCCATTCTTCTCCTGGACACCACTCCCTGCCCACCTGCAACCCCATCCTACCTACCTGGCTGAACGTGCCTTGCCTGGGTTGGTCTCTGTGAAGACCCTGCCTGCTTTGTACAGCACTCCCAGTGGTTGGTGCAGGGTGGATGAGCTGGGTTGTCTGGACAGCAGGGCTGGATCTAGTGGTGGTGGTGGAGACACTGGCATTGGCCAGCCACCATGCCACCCCTGCCCAGCCATACATCTGGGTCTGGGCTGCCCCCTGGGCTGGGAAGGACCAAGGGACCCACCATGGACCATATAAAATCCCTTGGCAGGCTGGATCTGGCCTACAGGCTATGTTTTTCCCATCCATGGTTCCTTCTGGAAGTTGCAAAACTGACTTGAAGAGATGCCATGAAATGTACAGCACCTGCTTCCATGGGACACATCATGACTAAACATGACTGAGAGGCCAGATTGTAAATTGATAACCAGGGGACAAGGCAGATTTTCATAGATTTCATAGACATTTGGGCTGGAAGGGACCCCAGAGGATCATCGAGCCCAGCCCCCTGCCCGAAGGCAGGAAGTCATGACGGAGTTTGTGACTGTTCGATCTTGCCATCCCTTGGAGCGCTCTGGTGAGCAGATGTTTCCCCAGATCCTGATGGGCACCCTGATAAACTTTTGGTGGCCACCAGATCACCCCTGAGCCTGCACTTTTCCTGGTTAAAGAGCCCCATGGCTCTCAGCCTGTCATTGTAAGGTCTGCTTTCCTGCCCTCTGATCATGTGTGTGGCTCTTCTCTGCACCCTCTCAATCTTCTCCACATTCTTTTTGAATTCTGAAGCCCAAAACTGGATGCAGTACTCCAGCTGTGGCCTCACCAAAGCCAAGTACAAGGGGAGAATGACGTCCTGGGATTTGCTTGAGAAGCATCTATGGATGCAAGCCAGAGTTTTGCTCACTTTACTAGCCGCAGCATCACATTGAAGGCTCATGTCCTTCTCATGGTCAATCTCTTGGACTCTTCAATGTCTTTATTTGTTACTTGGCTGAGGGAATGAAGTGTACTCTGTCCAAGTTTGCAGATGACACAAAACTGTGGGGAGAAGTGGACACACCGGAGGGCAGGGAACAACTACAAGCAGACCTGGACAGGTTGGACAAGTGGGCAATAAACAACAGAATGCAATTCAACAAGGAGAAATGCAAAGTGCTGCACCTAGGGAGGAGAAATGTCCAGCACACCTACAGCCTAGGGAATGACCTGCTGGGTGGCACGGAAGTGGAAAGGGATCTGGGAGTCCTAGTGGACTCCAAGATGACCATGAGTCGGCAGTGTGACGAAGCCATCAGAAAAGCTAATGGCACTTTATTGTGCATCAGCAGATGCATGAGAAACAGATCCAAGGAGGTGATACTTCCCCTCTATCGGGCGCTGGTCAGACCGCAGTTGGA